GAAGTATGGTTTTTTTCCTAATTGGTGTTAATTTATTGTGCAATGTAGGCTGTCTGGGCGGGACAAGTCAACTGCGCGTTGTGATCCGCCATTGCCGAGATTAATAGGCAACATAATCTCACAATGCATAGCATCAGAGACCACGTGGGAGAAGAGGGAGAAGGAGGTATGGGACATAGTGGGAGGCATAAAGAGAAACTTAAAGGAGTTCTGTGAGAAATAAAGGGGATGTGGCGGTGATTTCATGTAGCAGCTGGTGTAAATTTCCATTTTACGGGTAGGTTTTGGATGTGGGAAGCCCATATGGGTCACTGACCTTGTGTTGCCTGCGAAGAATTCAATTATATTCATTGATATCAAAGATGGCGACGGGATCGAAGCGATAGTGTGCTTGCAGGAGAAGGCAATGGAGGTGTTTCAGCAAAATCAACAGTTTTTCTCATTTTGTGAACTCAAAAACTAGCAGCGGAAGGTAATGTCTTTCGCAATGGTTTATTTGGTAAGTCATAATAATTTTCATCGTCATTGTAAACCCACTTGGTTGGTTTTAAAAAAAGGAAGTGGATCGTTAATGTTCTTTAACATAGTGATGTGAGTATCGGATATCACATTTAGGATTGAACACCAACCTAGAATTTATCTGAAATATATGAACTTTATATCAAGAATATCTCTGGAACTCAATTATAAAACCAACCACGTGAGTTCATATATAACATTAATATTGTTATGCCTATATAAAAATTTGTTTAAAAGGAATTTTGTAAGAGAGAATTTATAGTGTGAGAGCGTGGGAGATACACTTGTAAATAATTTGATTGTAGTAATTAGCTACCACTTGTAGATGTAGGAGAATTTCTTCGCTTCCAACCATTATTTTCAGGTGTTCATGAATAGGAAAAGGATGGTAATTTGCAAAATGTAAGCATTCATATAAGCTAAGCCCAGAAACACAGATCCAACAGAAACATAAGCTACAACACATCACTCCCAAAAAAGGAAAAGAAAAATACAGAGAAGTGTTGGTATAAGCAAGACATCACGTTATACAACATTTATTTCATTCTTTTCATAGCATGCACTAGTACTAAGTTGAACATGAACTCACCTGGTTAAGCCATAATTAAAATGCTACTTGGATACCCAATAGTGTCATCGACTGAGAGATGAACTGAGGAGGGTTAGGCCAAGCTGCCCCAGTAACCAAGTTTCCGTTTGCGAAGCATCAGTCGAGTGGATCAGGTTTCAACTATGTTGCCCCACTTAGTTCGACATTCAGTCAGTCACGGCTGGGTATGGAGTGTATTTGCTCCCTTATACATCAAAGAAGTATGAATCATTGGGAATGAACAAACAGTAGAAGAAACAATAATGTTATTATTATTAACAGAGACATATTGAAAATGTATCGCCTTTGTATCTTATAATAACTTTCGAATTTGAATAAGTTTGTCGAGTGTAACTGGTTCGTATTAGATCATGTCATTCCACGATGGAGCTACTGTTACTTCATTCTCATTTTCAAAGTAAAAAGAAATAAACATTTTGAATTTTTCAGACAACTCAAGTAGGATCATATCAATACCTAAAGAACACTCGCAACAGATAAGATCTATCTGCTGTCCATGGCAGATAGAAGCAACTACCTTAGTGGCTTCCATAAACTCCTAAACAATTGCAATAACTCAAGCATTCAAGGCCAAGTATTCAGGTGCTCGACCACTTGAGATTACAAGGGCGTCGTAACTTGATGAATTCAAGCTTTCAAAATCAGCCGTTAATGTAAAATTATGTCCTGGCTTATCATTGTAAGTTTGATCACCTTCAAATCATGGACGGCAGTTGGATGTCAATCACCATCCTTTTTCTTGGGACAAACTGCATCAGCATGACAACCAAGAGCTTGAAAGGATTATAACAGCCTAAAATTCATGAACTAAGTAAATATCTCAAAGTTAGGGAGCAAAAGTGCTAACGAAATTCAAAATAAACGAAACAAAACATGAATTGGGTATCCAAGGAAGTGCAAGAAGAAGTAAGATACAAGACATTGTTCAAACTATTAAAGTAGAGTTACGAGAAGGAACAAGGAGAAAAACACACATGATGACCCAAGGATTCATGAAAGGCGGTTCGACAGATATCAGCAGCCTTCTTCCCTGGACAAACAGCATCCTCCGAAACTCCATAAGTGATTAGCGCTTGAAATGGGACCACTGCCTGCAACCGAAATCAAGTGGATTTCAATGATGAGAGAAGAAGAAGGACAGACATTAGTAGCAATCTGAAATTCCACATGTAGAAAAGAAAATGAAAAGAAAAAGTGTAGTACCTAGCATATGAAGGGCACTATTAAGAGCCTACAACTAGGCTGCTTACCGAGTCTTGTACTCATTCCTTATTCTCCATTTTTTTTTCAAAAAATAAGGAGCTAGTCGAGGACGGTAGCGGACTCTGGAGTAGGTGCCATAGACTAACCTCACTCGTCGTCCTCAACCCTTTTTGTGTCGTCCCTTAACTTCTGTTTTAAAATTGTGTTCTGTTTTAAAATACTCATGTATAAAATTTATTTTGATATAATGTAAATATAATGTTTTAAATTCCTTTGTTTTATCTCGAGAAAAATTAACCCGTCTTTTTAGAGTCATTGAGTCATCCCGGTCCTTACACAACTCAATGAGTCTGACTGCTACATTTACATCGAGCGCAGACTGCTCAAAATTTGCGACGATCAACGACGGCTCCTCACGCATGTTCAGTGCCAAAAAACCGCCTCTACATTCTAGAGTTGAAGACAGAACAACCGATCAGCCTCTCAGCTAGGACCGAAGAAGCAACTTGGAGGTGGCACGCAAGGTACAGACACCTGAGCTTTCCTTCTCTACAGAAACTACACAAGGAGAAGATGATGTACGGTTTGCCGGTAATCGAAGGCGTGAATAGGCTATGCGAGGGTGTCTCATTGGCAAATAGAAGCACACCCATTTTTCGTCTTAGGCATCCTACCGTGCCGATGAGAGATTGGAACTCGTACACGGCGATCTCTGCGAGCCCATCAAGCCGGCGACCCCAAGCGATAAGACTCTTCCTCCTGCTAGTCGATGAAAAGAGCTGCTTTATGTAGTTGATCCCGCTGCAAGCAAAGAATGAGGATGCGGATGCGATTAAATGCGTTCAAGCGCGTGCGAAAGCCGAATACGGGAAGAAGATGCGAGTGTTGTGCATAGATCGAGGCAGAGAATTCACCTCGGTGAGCTTCAACAAGTATTGCGACGAGCTAGGCGTGTAGCGGCACCTAACGACACCCTACTCCCCCAGCAAAACGGGGTGGTGGAGCGCCAAAACCAGACCATCGTCGGGGCAGCAAGATCACTACTGATGACGATCGAGATGCCCGAGAGGTTCTGGAGAGAGGCGGTCATGACGGTCGTCTATCTCCTCAACTGGTCGACAACGCAAAGCCTAGACGGGAAGGCGCTACACGAGGTCTGATACAGCAAGAAGCCTGCAGTACATCATCTCCGAGTGCTTGGCTGCGTCGCGTACATGAAGATCATGCATCCGTACCTTGCCAAGCTCGATCCCAGGCGGCTGAAGATCATCTTCATTGGCTACAAACCCGGGAGCATGGCGTATAGGCTCAATGATCTTTCGGGGGGCGAGCTCACGTGTCGCGCGACATTGTCTTCGATGAGAACACCTTTTGGCTGTGGAACAACGTGGCTGCGGTGGACCAGAACCTAGAACAATTTACGGTGGAGTACCTCGTCAAGACACCTTTCCATAGGACTCAAATGGGTGTTCAAACTGAAGCATAACGAAGAGGGAGAAGTTGTGAAGCACAAGACCCATCTGGTGGCGAAGGACTACGTCAAGAAGCAGGGGGTGGACTTCGAAGAGGTGTTCGCGCCGGTGGCAAGGTTGGTCTGTCCGCTTGTTGCTGGCGATCGCAGCACATCACTCCTGGGAGGTCCACCACAAGGACGTGAAGTTAGCTTTCCTCAACGGAGAGCTAAAGGAGACTGTCTACGTTCGACAATCACCTGACTTCATCGACAACGACAACCCCAGTAAGGTACTGCAGATGCAGAAGGTGCTCTACGGGTTTTAACAACCCTAACAAGGTACTGCGTATGCAGAAGAGGACAATATCTGCTAGCAGTGGATCTGGGTCGTTACAAATGGTATCAGAGCCAGACACCGGACGATGTGCCAGCCTTCTTGCTGTTCCCCGAAGGGGGGTAGACACGAGGCGGTGTGCCAGTAAGGACGCTGGGCCCCAAAGGGGGGTGGATTTGGGGGTGGTCCCACATCGATTGGAGGAAGGAAAGAGTGCCAGCGAGGACGCTGGGCCCCGAAGGGGGGCGGATTATGATGTCGCACATTGGTTGGGGAGGAGAACAAACCACCGTTTATAAGGGTGTGGAAACCTTCCCCTATCAGACGCGTTTTAAAGCCTTGAGGGGAAGCTCGAAAGAGAAAGCCCAAAGAGGACAATATCTGCTAACGGTGGATCTGGGTCGTTACTGATACCTTTCATCATTGATATAACCTCTAGAACAGTACCCAGACTCGTGCCCTTGAATTTGAATCTGGTCTTGGATGGTGGTGTGAACACTACTTCTTTCTTGTGACAATCTATGCTAGCATGATTTTTTGCTAACCAATCCATTCCCAAAATTATATCATACACATACATATCAAGTACTATCAAGTCTACTTCTATTTTAACTCCTGATACTAATACATGACTATCCTTTACTCTATAAGCAGCAATCATATTCATCCCTGTCGGGGTGCCTACAGAAAATCCATGCAATAAAAGCTCTAATACAAACTTTGTTTGACTAACAAAAACAGTAAATAAAGGAATGCGTAGATCCTGAGTCAAACAATGTCAAAGCAAGGTGCCCAAGAACAGATAGTGTACTTGTCACCGTTGTATCAGGGTTTCCAGTATCCTTGCTGGTAAAGGCATAAGCTCTTGCTGGCAGACGGTTCTAATGGGGGTTGTTCGCGATGCGAAATGATTTCTGTTGATTTCCAACATCAGTAGTACGACTTCCAAAACAATCCTTAGCTAAATGCCCTGCTTTTCCACATCGAAAACAGGCTCCAGATCGAACCAAACACTGGCCCCAATGATTCTTGTCGCAATCCTTACACTTGGGCCTACTCTCTGACCTGTTCTCACTGCCTTGCTGTTCACGCCTATAATCCAGGCGCTGTCTATCTGATCGTCTTTGTGTTTGTGGAAACGACAATTCATTTCGGTCAGTTTGGTCGCGGCGTCGCTTCTGTCTCACTAGTGATGAAGGGGGTTCACGCGAACTATCAGGTCCTTCCATAGCCTTAGCTGCTCTCAGGGCGGCAGCGTAAGTGGTAGGTGAAATCGCCTTAACAGTGTTACGAATCTTCGTATCTAACCCCAGTACAAATTGTCGAGCTGTCTTGTAGTCCGTGTTCACTAATTCTGGGGCAAAACGCTTCAGCTTAGAAAATTCCCTGACATAGGTAGTAACAGTACGCCCCCTCTAACTCAATTGGGTAAACTTCTGCTGCTTTCGCAACTGGACATCCTCTGGGTAATATTGTTTAGAGAAGACATCCTTGAACTCCACCCACGAGACTACACCACCCTCAGGACTAATAAGGTCGCGGGTGGCCTGCCACCACAATTCCGCATCATCATGCAACATAAACATAGCACACTCCACCCTATGGGCCTCAGGGCAGTTGGTCAACACAAATACTGACTCAATGGACCTCAACCACATCTGTGTCACCGTTGGATCTTCAGATGCCCCCTTAAAAAGTTCGAGGGTCACCCTTCTTGAAATCTCGCAAGTACCTAGCCTCCATAGTTGATGTAGAAGCATTTGCTTGCTGGTTGGCAGTCAGATTTTGAATCACAGTTTGTAATGCATTTACTAGGGCAGCTGTAGGATCCGGTGCGGCTTGAGGTGTCGCTGGTGGCGGAATAGATTGCTCTATAGAATCATCTCATCTCCCATTACGTCCCCTTCTTCTTTCTCTACTCTTAAGTGGGGGTCGTCCCCTAAGACCTCCTCCTCGAGTTCTGGGTGGCATCTAAACAGTGCACGTAATTATTAAGTCACATACTTATCTAATAGATTCTATAAACATTCGTAGTCATACAAATCACTCATACATTCAACTATAGCATCATCATAACAGCCAGCAATACATGACATACCATAAATCATGCCAACATATAACACATGGATATCATATCATTCACCACAAAATACACATTCACTACTGCATACATCATTTAACTAAGAAGCTTCACTTCTTAAAAAAAAGAAGGCATACCTGACGGTGACGGCGCGTTTGCTAGAGGACCATGGAAGTACGTTAAGCCTACATCGTAAGCCAATCTACAAGATCTATAACCTAGGGCTTTGATACCAACGGTAACGTCACTAATTAGGTTTAGAAAATTAAGGGCGTTATATCTATCTTTTAAAATAAGAGTATTTACTCGTTTAGTTACTATCTCAATTAGTAAAGAGCACTTACTCGTTTGGTTGCTATCTCAATTAGTTCAAACTCTAAAAAATTAAAGCTTAAACTTAAAATGGTAAGTTGAGTCCAGAAGAAATATGTAATAAAAAAATATACAAATTAAGGAAATGACATGGTTGATCCTAAAGGAATGCACAAAAAAATGAATTTTCTAATACCAATTTAAATAAATATTGGAGTTTTACAAAGTTAACATAATAATAATAATGGAAACTCAATTTGAAGATTTATTTGGTACTAATTGGGTTGACAATACATACTTTAAAAGAAAAATACAAATTAAGAAAATGAGATGGTTGATCCCGAGTATAGATCAGATTATACTCTAAAGGAAGGTAAGAAAATGAATTTTCTAATACCAATTTAAATAAATATTCGAGTTTTACAAAGTTAAAAAGGCATAATAATAATGGAATCGCAATTTAAAGATTTATTTGGTAATAATTGGGTCGACCATAAATACTTTAAAAGAAAAATACAAATTAAGAAAATGAGATGGTTGATTCATAGTATAGATTATACTCTAAAGGAAGGTACGAAAATGAATTTTCTAATACCAATTTAGATAAATGTTCGAGTTGGAAATACAATTTTTTTTATTTTATTTTAAGAAATATGTAATTAAAAATATAAATTAATTTTTTAATAGCAATTTAAATAAATGTTTGAATTTTGCGTTAAAAAAGGTATGATAATAATGGAACTCACTTTAGTGATTTATTTGGTAAATCAACCACCAATCATTTCCTTCCCGTGACAACCCCACATAGGTCGCTCGTGAGTTTTGGTCAAACATTGACTACGCACGTGCAAAAGAAAACGGATTTGACTTTCTTTTTCCAAAATCTACTGCTTTTGACTTCTTGAGTTTTTTTAATGAAAAATATATGGATTAATCTTAAAAATTCCAAAGTTTAAAAATTAAAACCGTAAATTTAAAAGTTAGACTAAATATGTCATTTAATTAAAAAAAAAAAAAAAAGATAAATATCAATTTATATATATAAAAAAACGTTGAAGTTTTTCAATTAAAACCTCAAATTTAATAATTGAATTGATCTAAGTTTTATAAATTAATCATTTAAGTAATGATTTGTCCACCTAAAAAAACACAAAACCATTTTAAAAATTTCCTCAAATATAGCAAGAGCAATCATTATACAATTAAAAAAAATAGACGAAGATAAAGAGATGAAAAACTACTCGAATTTAATAAAACTTCTATTAATTGTTTAATTAATTCTCAAATTTCTCTGTAATTTACATTATTTTTTATACTAAAAAAGTAATATATATTTTCTAAAGTTATGCATGGATTGAAATAAAATTGTAATGAAAGTTTAGTTTATTTTTATTTAATTATTAATTTAAAAAAATTTATTGATTTTAATTTACAGTGTTTCCTCCTATATTTTGTTAATTTGTGGTTAAATTGGTTGGTTATTTCCATAATTTGTTTTTTTATTTTGTTACTTTGTTTAACAAACCAAAAGAATTGCCCCATCCCAAAAAAAATAATGAATGCACAGAGGCTGACCGGATTAATTCACATCTTCTAATAATGGGCGTCTCTAATTTTTCATATAAATACTGTTCTTCTTTACATAATTATCACACCCGCAATTAATTCACATCTTCTATTTTCTCTCTGCTTTTTAAATTTCTCCACCAATGGCTGACCGGATCTCCGGTGGTGCACACGAAGTTTCCGCCGTCGTCGCCATAGAAGAGGAAGAAATTGCGCCGTCTGGTTCCGATGTTCCCACTCCTCAAGAGAGGAAAATGTCGTGGCAGAATCTCCGGCGACACGACTCCTTGTATTTAGAGTCTCGTAAACTCCATGGTCGCGATCACTCCGAGGACGACGTCGGTCTCTTCTTTACTCTCCTCTTTTCTTCTTTTTCAGTTCTATATATTAATAATAATTTAAAATCAAACTGGCAGAAGAAGAAATGGAGTGTGATATTACAACTAGCATTCCAGAGCATCGGAGTAGTGTACGGAGACATCGGAACCTCGCCGCTCTACGTGTACGCCGGCATCTTTCCGGAGGGAATCAAGCACGAGGACGACGTTTTAGGAGCGATGTCTTTGATCTTCTACACCTTAACTCTCATTCCAGTCATCAAATACGTGTTCATCGTCCTCAGAGCCAACGACAACGGCGATGGTAAAAGCCTCATTCGATTCTTCTGTGATTCGGAATCGGAATCGGATTTTGATTTTGATTTTGATTTTGATTTTGATTTTCCAGGCGGAACCTTCGCACTGTACTCTCTGATTTGCCGGTACGCGAAAGTAGGGCTGATTCCAAACGCAGAGATGGAGGATGGAGAGGTGTCAAATTACCAATTGAATTTGCCGAATCGGAGACAGAAGAGAGCTTCGAGGATTCAGTCGGCGCTGGAGAACAGCCATTTTGCGAAGGTCGCTCTTCTCTTTGCGACGATGCTCGGAACCGCCATGGTTATTGGCGACGGCGTCCTCACCCCTTGTATCTCAGGTCCCCCTTTCCCCCCTTTTTTTTTTCCTCTAAATTACAAATTAATTGCAATATTATTTTTAACATTTTATGAATTAAATAGATTAATTTTTAATTGTTTTTTACTTCAGTTTTATCTGCTGTGGGAGGGATCACGGAGGCAACCTCTGCAATGACAGAAGGTAAATTCACACCCTTTATTTATTTATTTACTGTATTTTTTTTATAATTATCACACAGACCGAACTTTTTATTAGGGAAATTATTTTTCAATTTCCAACGGATTTATAAACCACAAAATTAATATTTGAAAAGAGGGATATTTTATCTATTTATTTTATAAACCGTAAATCAAAATAATTCAATTGTATAAAATTAATGTTTTTTTTTTAAATAGAAATAATTAAAACAGATAGAGAGTGACACATATTCCATAATTTTATTTAAAATATTTTTTAGAAAAGTGTAAAAGGAAAAAGATTCCCTTTCATTTTAATACAATTCATTATTTATACCAATTATGTCTGATTTTACAACAAATTAGTTTTTTATTTCTTATTTTTTCAAAAGATAAATTTGGTATTTCATAATTCCCTAGGCTTAATTTTTCATCCTCTTAAAATTGTATAACGGTTATTTCAATTTCCACTTAATTGATTCATCCCGGACAAAACTATTTTGAGTCATAAACTAAAAATGATATTGCAGGAAGGATTGTTTGGACATCAGTAGTCATCTTGGTGTTTTTGTTCATGGCTCAAAGATTAGGAACCGACAAAGTTGGCTACACTTTTGCCCCAATCATCTTCATTTGGTTTGCTTTCATCGCTGCAATCGGTGTTTACAACTTCTTCAAATACGACCCCACTGTCATCAAGGCCTTAAATCCAGCCTACATTATTTATTATTTCCAAAGGAACAAAAAGGATGCTTGGATTTCTCTCGGCGGTGTTGTTCTTTGTATTACAGGTTCTTAAGTCTTCTTATATTCTTTACTCTTACCCTTTTTCATCAACAACAGACCCCCACAATCTTTATAACTACACGACGAATACAGGGGCAGAAGCATTGTTCGCCGACGTCGGCCATTTCAGCGTCCGATCGATCCAGCTGAGCATGTCCCTAGTGACCTACCCAGCTCTGATCTGCGTTTATGCAGGCCAATCCTCGTTTCTTCGCAAGAATAGTGATCTAGTTTCACACACATTCTACAAGTCCACTCCTGGTATAAACATTCACAAAGTTCATACGATTTCATCCCAATAATTAACTCAACTATATCATCCTATGTGTATGATTGGCAGGAAGTTTGTATTGGCCAATGTTTGTGGTGGCAGTTTTAGCATCAATCATAGCAAGCCAAGCCATGATCTCAGGAACTTTCTCTATAATTCAGCAGTCACTTTCACTTGGATGCTTCCCAAGAGTTAAAGTGGTTCATACTTCTGCTAAGCATGAAGGCCAAGTTTATGTTCCTGAGATCAATTACCTTCTCATGTTGGCTTGTGTTTGTGTTACTTTGGTCTTCAAGAACACTACAAATATTGGCAATGCATACGGTAACTTACTCGTTCAAACTAACTCAACTCAACTCGACCAGCACTGACTAAATAAAGAATTTTGCTCTAAACAGGAATAGCAGTGGTGTTTGTGATGACACTCACGTCCTCCTTCCTAGTATTGATAATGGTAATGATATGGAAAACTCACATCCTGTTGGTAATCACTTACGTTGTCATAATTGGGAGCGTGGAATTGGTGTATCTGAGTTCAGTTCTTTACAAGTTCGACCAAGGAGGGTATCTCCCTCTAGCTTTTGCAGCTGTTATGATGGCAATAATGTATGTGTGGAATAGTGTGTTTAGAAAAAAGTACTTTTATGAGCTCAACCACAAAATCTCTCCAGAAATGTTCAATGAAATGGTGAGTACCACTAGCTTTAGAAGACTTCCTGGCATGGCATTTTTCTACACTGAGCTCGTTCAAGGCATCCCTCCCATCATCAAGCATTACGTCGAGCACGTGCCCGCTTTGCAGTCTGTGCTCGTCTTTGTCACCATTAAATCGCTTCCTATCAGCAAGGTTCGGAGTTGATATTAGATATAATAGATATAGATATAGATATATGCTATATATGACAATGTTTGAGGTTTTATGTATGTTGTTAACCAGGTTCCAGCCGACGAACGTTTCCTCTTCCGACGAGTAGAGGCAAAGGAGATCGACGTGTTTCGCTGTGTAGTTCGATATGGATACACAGAAGTGCGTGCAGAACATGAACTGTTCGAAAAAATTTTACTCGAAAGATTGGAAAAGTTCGAAAGTGATCGACGGGCATTGTGTATCAGTGATGGGAGAGTTGAAGAAGATGAAGAGGATGGGAATGGATTTGGAGGCGCTGCAGAAGCATGGAAGCAAGGAGTTGTTCATTTCATCGGGGAAACAGAGGTGGTTGCTAAACCGGGTGCTGGGTTTGGAGATAGGATTATGATAAACTATGCATATAACTTCTTGAAGAGAAATTTGAGGCAAACCGATCAAGTCTTTGAAATTCCTCACAAACGTATGCTCAAAGTGGGAATGACTTATGAACTTTAGACAACTTCATCATAATGTGATGTTTATGTCTGAAGGCAGATACGTATAGAAAATAAGCTCTTAATATGTATAGAAGATGAGCTCTTTATGTTCTTCAATCCTTTTTAGACTTGGGGTAACACAAAACCGAGCCCAATTATTATATTTGTCTTGTTCCCAGGTTTTATTTTGTAACTATTCAGATTTTTCATTTTTGACTTTTTGGTTAAGATTTTATTTTTATTATTATTATTATAAATAACAAGATATTATGTTATGCATTTATTTTTATCTGATAATGTGCGATTTTGTTCGACAAGAAGTTATTACCTTAAGAGAAATGTTAGGAAAACCGGTTATATTCCTATATTCAACTTTTCTCCTTCCTTGAAAACGACTTTTGCTCTTCAAACTTGTTTATGTTTTCGAGGGCGTCTGAAATTATAGAAAAAATTGAGAGTGTTAGTGGGGAAAATGTGTGGGTTGGTTCGCTGGATAGTTTTCTTGTTTGGCGAGTTCTCGAAATATTAGCTTGCTTACAGGATTACATGGAGGACTACGAGGTAACTGTTCCATTTCAATCCTTTCAAGCTCTTGGTTGTCATGTTGATGCAGTTTGTCCCAAGAAAAAGGCGGGTGATAGACATCCAACTGCTGTCCATGATTTTGAAGGTGATCATACTTACAGTAAGAAGCCCAGACATAATTTTACATTAACGGCTGATTTTGAAAGCTTGAATCCATCAAGTTACGACACCCTTATAATCCATGGTGGTTGAGCACCCGAATACTTGGCCTGAATGCTCAAGTTATTGCAAATGTCAAGGAGTTTATGGAAGCCAGGAAGACAGTTGCTTCTATCTGCCGTGGACAACAGATCTTATCTACGGCTGGTGTTCTTTAGGTATTGATATGATCCTACTTGAGTTGTCTATTTCTTTTTACTTTGGAAATGAGAATGAAGTAAAGTCGCTCTATCATGGAACCACATGATCTAATATAAACGAGTTACACCCGACAAACTTGTTCGGATTTGAAAGTTATTATAAGATATAAATGCTATACATTTTCAATATGTCTGTTAATAATAATAACATTATTGATCCATCATGGAACCACATGATCTAATACGAACCAGTTACACTCGACAAACTTGTTCGAATTTGAAAATTATTATAAGATATAAATGCGATATATTTTCAATATGTCACGGTTAATAATAATAACAACATTATTGATTCTTCCACTGTTTGTTCATTCCCAATGATTCATACTTCTTGGTTACTGGGGCAACTTGGCCTAGCCATCCTCAGTTCATCTCTCAATTGATGACACTTTTGGGTATCAAGTAGCATTTTGATTATGGTTTAACTAGGTGAGTTCATGTTTAACTTATTACAAGTGCATGCTATGAAAAGAATGAAATAAATGTCGCATAATGTGATATCTTGCTTATACCAACACTTAATGTATTAGCTTATGTTCCTATTGGATCTGTGTTCTTGATCTTAGCTTATATGAATGCTTACATTTTTGCAAATTACCATCCTTTCCTATTCATGAACACTGTTTTTAGAAGAAATTCTCCTACATCCACAACTAATAGTTAATTACTATAATCAAAGTGTTTACAAGTGTATCTCCCACACTATAAATTCTCTCCTACAAAGTTCCTCTTAAACAAACTTTTATATAGGCGTAACAATATTAATGTTATATATGAACCCACGTAGTTGGTTTTATAATTGAGATCTAGAGATGTTCTTAACATAAAGTTAATATATTTTAGATAAAATTCTAGGTTGGTGTTCAATCCTAATTGTGATACCCGATACTCGCATCACCATGTTAAGAACGTTAACGATCCACTTCCTTTTCTTAAAACCAACCACGTGGGTTTACAATGACAATGAGAATTATTATTATGACTTACCAAATACACCATTGCCAAAGACATTGCCTTCAGCAGCTAGTTTTTGAGTTCACAAAATGAGAAAAACTCTTGATTTTGTTGAAACGCATCCATTGCCTTCTCCTCCAAGCACACTATTGCTTCGATCCCGTCGCCATCTTATGTATCAATTAATATAATTGAATCCTTCGCAGACAACTCAGGGACAGTGACCCATATGGGCTTCCCGCGTCCAAAATCTACCTCGTAAAATGGAAATTTGCACCAGCTGCTACATGAAATCACCCGCCACATCCCCTTCATTTTTTGGCCTCTCCATTGATTGTTTCGCATGTAATTTATAAAGCCAACCCCATTCTTCATCTCTATAATCGCTTGGGAACTTCTCACAGTACACCTTTAAGTTTATCTTTATGTCTCCCACTATGTCCCATACCTCCTTCTCCCTCTGCTCCCCCGTGGTCTCCAATGCTATGCAGTGTGAGATTATGTTGCCTATTAATCTCGGCAATGGCGGCTCCACTCTCTGCCGTAAATTGATCATAAGATGCTGTTGACTTATCTGTCCCGCCCAGACAGCCTACATTGCACAATAAATTAGCACCAATTAGGAAAAAACCATACTTCCTACATGTCCATAAATGCCACTCGATACCAAATATCAATGGTTGGAGTAGAAGCAGAAGCAAAATCGATCATATTCACACACCCACAAACAGAAATTAAATAAAGAAACACAAATATTTATGTGGTTGGTTCGAAGATGAGAATTTTTTCTACATCCACGGGTGGTAGCCAATCACTATAACCAATGCTATCACACTACAAAAGTTTACATTTGTCTTTAAGCAAATGTAAAATGACAATGACTTCACGTCTCAAAATAATGCTAGACTAGCCTTTATAGAAGCATAGCAACATTAATACTCATAAATGAATCAAGATGATTCATGCATCAAAATAAGAATATTAACCAAAATAGTTATAAACGGAAAAATAAATAACTAAAATAAATTAGGATTGGGAGATCAAACCATGGACTGATGTGGTTCAAAAAAGTAAACTTTCTAGGTTTTGAGGTGACAAAATGAGAGAAGCTCTTCATTTGTCTCGAACACAGCCATTTCGTCCTTGTCCAAGCACACTATCGCTTCAATCCCCTCGCCATCCTTGGCATCCATCAACCCAATCGTATTCTTGGACAGAAAAGCAGGCACAGCGATCCATATTGGCGTCCCCCATCCAAAATCCGCCTCGTAAAGTGGAAATCTGCACCAGCTGCTACATCCATACTTCCTACCATCATTATCCATCATCCATGTCTCAAATGATTCTTTGATCCATGATTTTAGAGCCGGACTCCCTTCTTCATCTCTGTAGTTTCTCGGCAACTTCCTGCAAAACTCTTCGAAGTTTCTCTTCATGTCACCCACAACGCTCCATAGCTCCATCTCCCTCTGCTGCTCAGCCGACGTTGATGATGCTCTGAAGAATGATACTATGTTGCCTGTCAATGTCCCCGGCAATGGCGGCTCCACTCTGCTCCGTAAGTTGATGAACTGCAGTATACTTGTCGGTTCTCTTGAAAGACCCCCTTCTCAAAACGAAAAAGAAAGTGAGAAATTAAATCTCCTGTTAGGATCACACGATAACGCATAACTGGATGAACACAAAGAACATAACAGAGGTCGAATATTAGCATTTATATTGATGACTTGCACCAAATTGATTCCATGGAATCTAAAACAACTTATTGAATCAAGAAAGAGATCAGAAGGAATTGTAACGCACCTGAGAGTGCATTTTTTGCAGAAACAATAGCTTTGTAGATAAAAGCTGTGAGAACCTGAACGCGGGTTGGATTCTCTACTTTCTTAGAAACCATAGCTTTAAGAGCTCTAATCTTTGAACCCTCAAATACCATTCTTCTGGAACGAACATTTTCTTCCCGTTTCTTACTTCCTGAACCTTCCCCCTCAGATGGGTCTACCCCGCCGTCCAATTCCGGCCTGAACAAACTCGCTGCATGAAACAGAGGACACACCACCGGGGGATCGATGCCGCCGGAGCTGCGAGCGATAGAAGCCCAATCGTTCATGAAGTTGGCAAATGTCGCCAAATCCGCAACTTTATGAGCCAAAGACACATACATTACTTCACCTCCGCATTCAAATTGGGTCAACTGAACGGACAACAGAGGATCGAATGTTTGGACCTTTCCCTTTATGTCCTCAAAGCAGAGCAATTTCAAAATCTCGTCATGATTCAAATCGAAGGTGTTCATAACTTCTGACATTGGACACCGGAGCTTTGCCTCTACGAACGTGGCCCCCATGTCGTTGCAGTCGATGAAGTTTCCGCCGTCTCGAAGGCGGCCGGCAAAAGGGTAGTAGAAAGTCAAGGCCTTTGAGAGGCTGTCCTTCAGCAGCCGGCCGCGGCAGCCGGAGGAGCTGACAACGGCGTTGTTGTTGGTGTAGAAATAAAGAAGGGGTGTATAAACGTTAGGGGTATGTTGATCAAACCAGGAAAGGGTGAGAGTTGTGAGGTCCGGTGGGGTTGAAGATAAGGGCTTGATGGTTTCTTTACTCACTATTTCGAGTTCCATCACTTTGCTTTGAATGTGTTGAAGCTCAATTTCTTAGTTGAAGCTGCAGATTTGAATTCAAGAGAGAACATAAAAGGGAAAGTGTTTTTAATTTCTATTGGTTTATTGGGCACAAGGATAAGATTTTATCCAAAAAGGTTGACTTTGATATTATCACCCATATTTTATTATTTTAGGATAATTGTCTAGAATAAATTTAAGAAAATTGTTAGTCCTTTCCTTAGTAAAATAAATATGCTAACTTGTTAGTTTTTTTTTTTTTTTTTTTTTTTTTTTTTTTTTGTTATAAATACTCATTACATGTGTACTCTATTCACAACAAACAAAGAGAATTGAAAAGCCATTTCTTTAGATTTTAATAAATACTCTATTCACAACAAATAAAGAGAATTGAAAAGCAGTTTCCTTCTGTCTTAATATACTATCCTCTCAAGTTGTTATTTTTGTTTTATCTATTTGTTTTAGTATATTTCAATTGTAGGTCCTATCCAATAATTGGTATTAGAGCTTGGATGATGTCTTAATATACTATCGTCTCAAGTTGTTATTTTTGTTTTATCTATTTGTTTTAGTATATTTCAATTGTGGGTCCTATCCAATAATTAGTATTAGAGCTCGGATGCCGAAATAAATGTTGTCACCATACAAGGAGCGAAAGGGAGGGGAGTGTAACACTCTATTACCTGTTACTCACGAAGAGTAACGATGCAACATGTTCAATAAAGATGTATGTGATCTTACATGCACAAGGCGTGTGGGACGCCATGGAGATGTGACAAAGTTGAGGAGAGCGCAAAGATAGGATGACTCTTGCTGTCATCTACCTAGAAGTCTCCGAGGACGTCCTTCTCATGTTGGCAGACAAGGACTCGACAAAAGTAGCATTGGGAGACACCGCAAACAATGCGTGTGGGTGTGGAACATGTCAAAGAAGCAAACATGCAGACCTTGAAGAGTGAGTTCGAGGCTATCCATGAAGGACATTGAGTCAACAAAACGACTTTGTCATGAAGTTAACGATGATCGTCAGCGACATACGTTCTTTAGGCAACAAGCTAGAGAAGATATTCGTCGCCAAGAAGTTCCTTCAAGCTGTTCTCCCTAGATTCATTTAGATAGTTACCTCCATCGAGCAGTTCACTAACCTCAAGAACATGTTGATTGAAGAGGTTGTTGGTCATCTTAAGGTCCATGAGGAGAGGCTTCGTGGCTTTGACAACAGTGAGGAGGAGAAGCATCTCTTACTCACACAGGAGGAGTGGCTCGCACGAACAAAAAAGGGACGTGACAAAGGAGGTTGTGACAATACCTCATAAACCCATGACAACTAAACCCCTAGAAGAACAAGAGTATGATTAAGTATTACTCTCGTGGAAAATACGGGCATTATGCGGCAGAGTGCTGCATTGATGTTGGCCTACAAAATGCTCAACATGTTGGTGCTCAATGAAGAGAAGGTTATGGCAAACCTCCTCATAGATGTTGAAGACCAAATGGAGGCTAACATGTGGTACTTAACAATGGAACGAGCAACCACATGACTGAAGATCAAGCAAAATTCAAAGAGCTTGATGAGAAATTTATTGGAAACATGAAGCTTTGTGATTGACCAATTGTACCAATCCAAGACAAAGGATTCATCTTGTTCTAGTGCAAGAATGACAATCAACCTTTATTGTCCAAGGTACATTTCATCCCGAGTTTGAAGAGCAATATTATTAGTCTTGATCAAATGATAGAAGAAGATAGTAGAGTGGAATTTATCGACTTATTCCTCAAGATATTTGATAGAAACAAAGTCCTATTGATGAAGGTAAGACAGTCGCAGAAACATTCTACGTAAGATATTATTGAAAGACCATTAACATCTTCCAAAAGTATTCATTGGCATTGGCAGCAAGAAAGTGGAGAAGAAACCAATGGGTCAAGAGTAAAAGGAACTGAAGAACAGATCTAAGAAAAAGCCAGAGGCTGCTTCAATCAACGAAATGCAACGTCTACGAGTTTCATTAGACTTATCATCTCAACCAAGGAAGTCTAGAGGAAGGTCACCAAAGCGTAAGAAAAATGATACTTCAAACTCGTCATCCCAACCAAAGAAGCTTAGAGGTAGGCCTAAAAAAAGTTGAAAAAATAGAAGAGCACATTATAAGAAGTTTCTACCTATAAGTCACATAAACTTTATGCAGAGAACAAAGGAGCTAAAGAAATTGCATTGGTAGAATTAAAATTTCTTCTAAAGAACACAAAGTTGACTAGGGACCAATCAAAATTGATACTAGAGATTAACGTGTGTACATCCTCACCAAAACCTTAGCAAGTGTTAAATTTGTAGATATATCGGAGTTGCTCGAAGTGAAAAATCTCAAACAAAATCAAACTTACGAAAGAGAAGGTGAGTTAATAAATTTCACTTAACAAAATAAGTTATTAACTTGGAACAATTATTTTAACTCTTTTAAGTTCTTATGTCATACAAAACTCTCCTCTCTATTTATTTCCATATATTCTAATTACAGGCTATATCCGACAACGACAATGACAACCACAACCACCCACATGGTTTTGGTTTTGGTTTTGGGAAGCACAAACAAAAATGACACTTAGAAGAGGGGCCATTGAATGCTGAGGGGTTGTCATGGGCAACCACCACAGAGGATGGATTTTTGCGTACTAAAGGAGAGTGTCATTACACATAACATTATTACACACAACATTATTACAAACAACATTTAAAGAAGTGAAAGTGACAGGAACAACAGTACAACACGACCAAACGTGAAACCCATTTCAGCTGGCTGCTGCAGCTGCTCTATTTTTTGAGCTCACAAAATGAGAAAAACTCTTGATTTTGCTGAAACGCCTCCATAGCCTTCTCCTCCAAGCTCACCATCGCTTCAATCCCCTCGCCATCTTTGGTATCCATCAATAAAATTAAATCCTTGGCAGGAAACTCAGGGACAGTCACCCATACAGCCTTCCCCCATCCAAAATCTACATCATAAACTGGAAATCTACACCAGCTGCTGCATGAAATCACCGCCACATCCCCGTTATTTCTCAGCCTCTCCGTTGATTGTTTCGCATGTAATTTGTAAAGCCGACCCCACTCTTTATTCTTGTAATCTCTTGGGAACTTCTGACAGAACTCCTTTAAGCTTTTCTTCATGCCACCCACTATGTCCCATACCTCCTTGTCCCTCTGCTCCCACGTGGTCTCTGACGCTATGTAGCGTGATATTATGTTACCTATTAATCTTGGCAACGGTGACTCCACTCTCTGCCGTAAGTTGATCATAAGATGCAGTTGAGTTGCCCCTTCCACACACCCTACGTTACACAACAAATTAGCACCAAATACCAACAAACCCTACTTCCTACGACGAACAGGTTATCATAGATCGTACTCACACACCCACATACAAGTAGAAATTAAACAAAGAAACATAAAAATTTAGGTAGTTCGAATAAAAAATATTTTCCTACATTATCAGATAGTGTTTATAACTCTATCTCTCACACTTTCACCCTACAAAGTCTCTCTTACAAATTTTCTTCCAGTTACTTTAAAACAAAAACAAAATAACAATAACTTCACGTCTCAAAACAATGTTAGACAAAGCAATATTAATATTCATAATGTTGAAAATTACCCATATTTGAAATATGTCGAAATAAATAAAGCGGAAGAACGAGAGCTTCTAAATAGAGGAACCTTAAGCACGTATGCTTTATTATTATTTTTTTTTTTGTTCTTATCCGAGTATAAATAACATACCTATACTGAGTATTTACCATGAGATTGCATAATCAATCTCCTAAACTTTCAAATCAATAACGACTAGATCTTTGTAATGGATCTCTTAAACTTAAAAATCAATAACGGTTAAATATTCGTAATTGATCTCCTAAACTTTCAAATTAGTAATTACGAAATCTTTATCTTAAAATCATTAGCTTACACATTATTCATATATCAAAAATGAGAATATGGACAAAAAAAAAAAAATGATTATGGACGTGACTGAAATAGTTTGAACATACCCGTGACTGAAGATTTTGCCGAAAGGACAGCTTTATAGATTAACGCAGCGATGAGCTGAACACGAGTTGGGTTCTCTGCTTTCTCAGAAACCATAGCTTTAAGAGCCGCAATCTTCGAACCTTCAAACACCAATCTCTTAGAACAAAATTTTGAAAAGGACAACGGAACCTCCACTCTTTCATTCGTTCCAGAAGTATCCTGGCGGCCAGATGGGTTGTCGCTGACCTCCAACTCAGGCGGAAAACAGGTGGCGCCGTTGAACTGAGGATTGACTACCGGCAGATCGCCGTGGGTGAAGCTACGAGCAATGGAAGCCCAATCCCTCATGAAGTGGGTTACGGAGTACATATCCGAAAGTTTGTGATTGAAGAACACACAAATCACTTCTCCTCCACATTCAAACTGGGTCAACTGAATAGACAACATAGGTTTGACTTCTTGTTCCTTCTTATTCATGTCATCTAAAAGAAGCAACTTCAACTTCTCTTCCCGTTGTGAATCTTTGTCGTTCATAACGTCCGTCATCGGACACCCGGCCTTCGCCACCAAGAACATTACACCCATGTCGTTGCACTCGATATAGCTACCATGTTGTTCTAAATGACAAAAATGTATATTAATAAAAATATCCATACATTATTTATTTTCTCTGAATAAAAATACTAAATGTGAATGTTTGATTAATCCACCCCACCTAAATGGTGTGAAAGTTATCTTATTTATAATCAAATAAATTACAAGGATATGGAAATAGTAATAAATGGAAATAACAATAAATGGAAAGATATCTATAGTAATAAGGCAAATATTAGATATTTGCCTTATAATAAAATATCAAATATAATATATACGGGAAAGTATAATTTATTACTAAATATCCTTAACACTAAATTTTCAAGATCCAACACTTAAACACACCAGTAACAAATATTGCCGTAAAAGGTATTTAAACCGCGTTTGTTTAAGAGAAATTTCCATACATTTATAAAAACAAATGCTTTTCTGGAGGTGCGATCTCACAATCCAACCCCTTT